ATGAAGCACCAACCCTTCAGACAATTTATAACTGGTACCGAGAATTCCGTTGCGGTCGTAGTTCGCTCAAAGACGAGTTTCATACAGGTCGTCCAAAATCGGCTGTTGTGCCACAAAACATCGATGCTGTCAGAAAACTGATTATGGAAGATCGTCATGTGACCTACCGTGAGATTGAGGCATCTTTGGGCATTTCATCCCACAGCATACATACAATTTTGCATGAACATTTAGCCGTAAAAAAGATTTGCTCTCGTTGGATCCCACATAAATTGACCGATGAACAAAAAATGGCTCGTGTGAGTTGGTGTAAAGAAATGCTCAAGAAATTCAATCGTGGTGCTTCAAAAGACGTTAATAAAATCGTCACTGGTGACGAATCGTGGATATATGCCTATGAGCCCGAAACGAAACAGCAGTCGACTGTATGGGTCTTCCAAAATGAAGATAACCCAACGAAAGTTGTTCGAGCAAGAAGCACTTCGAAGCGAATGGTCGCCTGTTTTTTCGGGAGAAGTGGTCATGTGGCAACCGTTCCACTAGAGGATCGTAAGACCGTCAATTCTGATTGGTATACCACCATTTGTTTGCCCGAAGTGTTTGGTGAAATAAGAAAAAACAACCACCGTCGCAAAATAATTCTTCATCACGATAATGCGAGCTCTCACACATCTTTTCAAACTACTCGATTTTTGACCGGTCAAAACATCGAACTGATGGGTCATCCACCGTACAGTCCTGACCTGGCACCCAAAGACTTTTTTTGTTCCCAAGCGTGAAGAAAAAACTACGTGGTCAACGATTTTCGACACCAGAAGAAGCAGTTGAAGCGTTCAAAACACACGTTTTGGAGATATCAGTTTCGGAGTGGCACGAATGCTATGACAAATGGTTTCATCGAATGCAAAAGTGTATCGATCATCTCGGGGAATATTTTGAAAAACAATAAAACCATTTTCGACAAAAAACAACTGTGTTATATATGTTTTTAAAAAAAATTATGGAGCAACCCTCGTACAAGGAGGAGCGAGATAGCATTGGACAATGATTTGAGTGACAAAGATGACAAACTTTTACGTTCTGATCACACCACATGATATAGACCATTTAGTGGTGTTCGAGAATTGAGAAAAAAATGTTTTTTTCTTTCACTTTTTGTGCTCTATACCGAGTCTCCGAGAGTTCCATATGAACTCGCCTTGCAATAGCCAAATGTCGCCTAGTGATTCAATCACGATTGGTATTCACTTATTATTCAATAGGCATCACATAGCAAGTTTATATGAAACTCTCGGAGACTCGGTATAGAGCACTCAAACAGTGAAAAAGGTCCAGATCGTGATTTAGATGATATGGAATGCGATTTTTTTCATTCTGATTGAACCAGGTGATACAGAAAATTGAGAAGTATTTTTAAATCGAAGAAAAAAAATTTAATTATTTTTTTCATTTTTCGCGATTTTTCACCATCTATGTACATGGGAGGCTTGTATGAAAAACACGGAAGACCGCTGAAATGACACTAT